GCCGGAAAAAAGCGGCAGCCATGTTCATGCAAATGCAGCGGGGAAAATTTAAATCCCCGCTGCATTTGCAATTCCGACTTGTCTCATCTGCATCCCTTTTCCGGAAAAGGGGTGCAGTGTAGACACAGCCCATCAGTGTGTTACAAACTCAGATGTCCATCCCTCTCTTAACCGAGAGGTGAAGAAATTCCACACCCTCTACTCACCTAGCAGCAGAGAGGTTTCTGTCCCTTTTAGTAACAGAATAGTATCTACACAAGTTAATTTCTTATAGTAGAGAGACCAATTAGTCCAGCAGTCAAAGGTATGACAAGGTCCTATAGTGGGAAGCTGAAGCCAGACAAATTAAAACCAGCTCCATATTTCCATTTTACACAGTGAAGGTAGTAAACCATTGGAACAATTTATCTAAACTGGCAGTGGATTCTCCCCCACTGGAAATCTTTAAATCATCAGTGATGTATTTCTAAAACATGTGGTTGAACTGGAACACCTGTTTTGGGGCTTTATGCGGAAATTAGTAAAATTTATGGCCTGTGTTATGCAGGAGATGGATGATTCTAATAGTCCTTTCTGGCCTTAAAGTCAATGAATGTCAAAGATGCTCAAGTGTACCTTATATTGATTCCCACTATAGCTAGGAATCCCATTTCTCTAGCCTCTGGAGTTCTATAACAGCCCAGATGCTAGTTCACTCTTCGAGTTCTTCGTCGTTCTGCCACTTATGGAAAGCTTCTCTCCTTGATAAGGACTGTTAAAAGCATCTGACCAAGATCAGTAACATGTACAGATTCAGTAGGTGACACTAGCTTTTTAAAATGGCTGCACTGTAGCCCTAGCTAGTCAGGAAAAGGAGCACTCTCAAGAGAGTGGTGAGAAGCCAGATCTTGAACAGAATCAAATGAATCCCAGAGGGGATCAGTAAATTTGGGAAACCAATTTGCTTCTAAGGCATCTTTTAGCAATCCAGTTCCCCCTATTCCAACCCCAGCATTCTCCTCTGGGTCCTACGGATGCACTCTCTGGTGCTGCATCACAAAGTGGAGGCTGGAAGATACAGTGTCTATGTGTCAGTTAATCTTCCACATCAGCCTAACCTATACAGAGGCTGCAGCAGCGATTTCTTTGTCACAGAAATACTGTGCAATGTCAGTCCCACTCACTAATGCAACAGTTGGCATCAGGAAACATCAGTCATTTCACTTTCTCTCTTCAGT